GATGATATAATTTATATTATGTATAGATACATATTTTAATTATACAAATATATTTAAATTTTAGATTTGTTTGATAATGGAGAACAAATACCTCTTTTTAAACTATTTAATAAATAACATTATAATGCTTTTGAAACTTTCACGAGTATTTCTGATATCTTTGAATAAATGACATTATTATCTGTAATATATTGGAAGATCTTTTAAAAATGTATTTTGAAAACATTACAAGTTGACAAATTTTTTACTTTCCAGAATCTGTATCAACAGTTCGACTATATAACTTCTCATTTTATATCAATTATAAGAATGTTTATGGACTTCGTAACTTAATTTTTACACTAAGGACCATTTTTTTATTAATTAACGACGCAATATGCAATTTGTATTCCAATGCTTCTTCTTATGTTTATGGCCTGTTGCCAATAACTTTCCTAAGTTGGAACTTTTGGATAAGGCAATTAGAAGGAAATCGCTTGCACGGAGCTGTGCACGTAGGATAAGAAAAAATCGATATTCCATTATTATATTTTATTTCACGCTGAAAATGGCTCAAAGCAGAGCCGAAACATTCGTTTCTGAAGAATGTAATTATGTATTTTAATTTATGGACAATACTATATTGTTTAATTTTTTGCAAAAATAATTGCTTGATTTTTTGCAAAAATAACTTGACTTTTATAATTAAATAACTTGAATCTTATAACCTCATTGTTATGTTATTGTTTATTTATTAAATTGACATTATATTACATTCTTGAATAATTAATTATAATACAATGACATTTGGAAAAATTTCTGAAAATTTAAAACATTTTTAAAGCATTTATAGTATCTTATATTTTTATTTTTATATAAATACGTTATGTATATATGTATGTATGTATATTAAAATTGGCGTACATGGACATCCATGACAAATTTTAAATACGTGTGAAAAGAGAGATAATGTAAATATTCATCAACGTTTCTATCGTAAAATATAATAAATGTTTTATCAAACTGTAACTCTGTAATTCTACAGACATCTAATAGTCAACATTGTTCCATAGCGAATATCATATTGCAGATATTGTTCTCGTGCGTACTTATAAAATAAATTCCCATTGCATATAAAATAAAAGAGATCTGTAAACTGTTTGATGTCTGCGCACTGTTTTTTTATCATTTTAACGGGATATTGAAGAGGCAAATTCCACCTATTGTGTGACTCTGCATTTCTAGCTCGATAAACGGATTTGAGTGTGTGGCGAGCTATACAAATAAACACGCGTGAATTTGTAGAACAAGAAAATACGTATGCGATGCAATTCATTTCTTTTTATCGAACTTGATGATTTTATGCACTGCCGAATTTCAGCCTTGCTGAAACAAAGCGTGCAACTATAAAATATTTTTTTGCCTTTCGATATTTCCTCTTTAAATTGTTGGAGAGTCTTGCGAAAATTCGCACGGATAAAGTGAGTAAAAATAAAATTCATCGTATAGTGTTTAACTGTAATTACTTATTAATTAGCAGAAAAGATCGACGTCAAATGCTACGCTTTATTTAGCTGCTCCTTGCAATTTTGCAAGTTTCCTCTTCAAACAGATATCCTTTTCTGCATATTCTACGAGGAGACGTTATATAGGGCGAAAAAAAATAAAAGGCGGAAAATGGAATGATGGAGTGACATTAAATGTGGGTGGTGTTCGACACGAAACGTATAAAGTGACGTTGAAGAAAATCCTAGCAACTAGATTGTCACGGTTAACGGATCGACGTTAACGAATTACGATCCGATTGGATGAATACTTATACTTTTATGACAGGCATTCAGATTTTTTTGCGCAAATGCTCAATTATTATTGCACAGGGAAACTGTATTATCTCACGGACATATGCAACCCACTCTTTAAAAAGAAACTGAAATGTTGGGATCACGTTGGATCAGATTGATTCACATTAATATCGCTCCAAATAAATTGCATGTCATTTAACTATCAATTAAAAATTATATATGTCATAAAAAATAATATGAGTAAAATATAAGGTACAGTATTAATTCTATTAAATCATTTATATAATTAAAGATATCAAATCCAATAATTTTGTGTCAATATTCTGTCAATTATCAAAGCAACTGTAATCATGCTTACAATCTGTTACATCAACGACAGATTGATTTTAATGTAAATATAATTTTTATTTTATTTTATTAAAATAATAATTTTTAATTAAAGCATCAGTTTTCTCAAAAAATTAAACAAAAAATTAAAAAATAAAGAAAACATTGTGCTGATCTGTATTTTAAAATAAGATTACTTATATTTTCTTTTACGCATAATTAATAATAAATTGGAAAGAATTTTAAAAAATTAATGATAAGAAACATCATCACTTTGTTGATACTTGATTAAATATTAAACCACAGGAAAATTCAAACCTATATAAAAACTCTTTAAATAAAATATTCATTATACATTTAATTATTAAAATGTTTTTTATGCAAAATGTTTTTATTATTATAAGCTTTTATACATCTTATGTGATATAGAAACAATTTGATATAATTAATTTATAAATGATTATATTATGGAATAATTTAATAATCTGTTAATTAAGATGACTGTCTCTAGATAGAGCCGTGTTATTCCCATATATAGCATACATCAAGATGCGCAAGTCACCCTGGCAATCCTCAATAAGCTCGACATCGAGGATGAAAAGCTTAGCGACGAAGAAATCGCTTGGGTTTTCGGTTTCGAGGACGAGTATCGTAAAGGGACTTTAACGAGAGGGCAAAGATTACGGTCTCGTATTTTGAAGATTCTTTTCGATGAACCGTACTCTTCAGCAGAAGCCAAACGTATAGCCTATGTATCGATATTTTTCATCCATCTGTC